TGAGGATGCTACGGAGCTACCGGCTACCGGCTACTGTCTACCGGCTACTGTCTAGACAGCGCTTCGCCGGACGCGTGTGCATGTGTGTGTGTGTGTGTGTGTGTGTGTGTGTGTGTGTGTGTGTGTGTGTGTGTGTGTGTGTGTGTGTGTGTGTNAGAGAGATAGAGAGATAGATAAATAAATAGATATAAGAATAGATGTTATGTTTCTAATTACTTTTCTAAATGCTGGGTTTGGTTAAAGTGTTTAATTATGCGAGCAACTTACTGTGTGCTACTCTACTGCTGGCATACTTTTAATAGATGTCTAATTTGTCATCCGTTACTGCGGAGTTCCGCCTACTGAACTTCCTAGGATATGTGTCAAATGTATTCACTGTCACATGCATGGGTGATATATTGAATGCTATTTAACATACGGAATGTTGCTCCGTCTTGTATATATTCTACAATGTCCCTCAAGATATGAGGTTCCATACCCTCCAACATTCACTAAGTATTCAATGTTTCGCAGTTTTTTCCCCAAAATTCTCTTTCCCCTCTTCCTCTCACTCTCCCTCCCATCTTCCTCTCATTCTCCCTCCCCTCCCCTCCACCTCTCACTCTCCCTCCCTCCCCTCCACCTCTCACTCTCCCTCCCCTCCCCTCCACCTCTCACTCTCCTTCCCCTCCCCCACTCTCTCCACCTCTCACTCTCTCTCCCCTCCCCCACTTTCTCCACCTCTCACTCTCCCTCCCCTCCCCTTCCACCTCTCACTCTANATGTGTGTGTGTGTGTGTGTGTGTGTGTGTGTGTGTGTGTGTGTGTGTGTGTGTGTGTGTGTGTGTGTGCGCGCGCGTGTACGTGCGCGCGTGTGTGTGTGCGTGCGTGCGTGTGTGTGTGCGTGCGTGCGTGCGTGTGTGTGTATATGTGTCACGTTATACCCAGTGCGGCTACTACCACCCCTCCTAACCCAAACCCCTCCTATTCCAACTCCCTCGGCCTACAGCTTCCTACATCACCCTAACCCTAACACTAGCGCTAACACTAATTCTAACAATAATCCTAATCCTAACCCTAACCCTAACACTAGCGCTAACACTAATCCTAATCCTAAAAACTAGCGCTAACACTAATCCTAACACTAGCGCTAACACTAATCCTAACAATAATCATAACCTTAATTACTCTAAACTTATATCTAACCTTACATCTACCCTAACCCTAACGGCTGACCCCAGCACACCTACTTGTCATATATAACCCATTGCTTGTCCGACATCTCTCACAAATTTTCCCCGTATCTTTAGAAAAAACTGCTCTCCGTCTTTGAAGTATTTTTTTTTATCTCATCGCCACCAGCATAATAGAGAGGTCTAGCCCCGCCCCCCCCATAGAACCACTCTGCGTTGCCGAAACTCCTGGCGAAACAAGCGAGCAGTAAAGCCCCCCCCCCCTCCCCCCCTCCTCACCCACAACGCGCACAGTGTTGTAGTCCGCACAGCGCGCACAGTGCTGCCGTCACAGCAGAACACAGAAGAAGAGCAGCGGGATTAGCTGACACTGTTTAACCCCTGCGGTCCTCACAACAACCGGCCTAGCCACGCGTACTGGCCAAACACGCGCAGGGATGAGCATAATGACGACAGAATGCCGACAAAGACAGCTATAAGCAGACGCGGCGGCCGCAGCGCCGGGGCAGCAACGTGAGGGCAACTTTGCAACTAGACTTTGACTTTCGACAGCTTACACTCGTTTGTGACCCCCGCTGTATGAGAGAGAGAGAGAGAGAGAGAGAGAGAGAGAGAGAGAGAGAGAGAGAGAGAGAGAGAGAGAGAGAGAGAGAGAGAGAGAGAGAGAGAGAGAGAGAGAGAGAGAGAGAGAGAGAGAGAGAGAGAGAGAGACCGAGCAAGCACGAGAGAGAGAGAGAGAGAGAGAGAGAGAGGAGAATCAGTGTGTTTTGTATGACGAAAGATTTTCAATGATCTGTGATTATGATTATCAGCTGGCACCGTTAAACTACATTCAATATAATCGCGGATTAAGCAATAACAGCCCACATCCGCAGGTCATAGGCTTGCTCTAACCCTAACCCTAATCCTACCCATAGCCCTAACTTTAATCTTGTCCCTAGCCCTAACCCTATAACCCTAGCCCTAACACCAAACCTATCCCTGATACTAACTAACCCTAGCCCTAACACCAAACCAATCCTAATCCTAATCCTATCCCGTTAATGCTAATCCGCACACTCACCAGGGCCTCTGCGATGCTGGAGCTTCTTCCGTTGACGCTGACGATCGGACCGGCATGCACCGCGCTCAGCCAGCCGCTCAAACACAAGCAGACGACGACAACCTTGACGCTAGTCGCTAACGACGCTCGCAGTGCGTCGCCGCCGCCGCATAGGCAGCGCGGCGACGTCGCTGTCGTCGTCGTCGTCGTCGACGACGTTTCACCGGGCTCGAGTCCAGCCGACGGAGCGCTGGAATCGAATCCCGGTGCTGTGCTATCCGACACTGACATGACACGATATACGTACACGCGGAGAGACAGAGACAGAGAGAGCGATAGAGGGGAGATAGAGGAGAGATAGAGAGCACACGCGCGGGGCCGGAGCAGTGGTGACGTTAGCTGACATTGGACGACCAGGGAGCGCAGGCCGCTATTTCAGCGCTCCGTCACGCTAGAGCAGGTGGCCTGATTAGGTGCCATCGAGCGAAAAGTGGAGCAAGCGCCCGCGGCAGTCGTGCGCGGAGAGACGCTAGCGGCGGCGGCGGCGGCGGCGGCGGCGGCAGAGAAGGAGGAGATGAGAGAGGGCCGGCAGGTTGCGAAACGCAACTGTAGCGGAACAGCGAATCAGCTGGCTGCTGTCTCAGCATATCTGATCCGCGCTCTTCTCGATAGTTCTGTCTCACTTTCTCTGCGCCCCTTCTCTCTCTCTATCTTTCTCTCACGCACACACACACACACACACACACACACACACCACACACACACACACGCACACGGCACACGCACACGCACACGCACACGCACACGCACACGCACACGCCCACACGCACACGCCACACACACACAACACACACACACACACACACACATAGACAGACATACACACAACTGTCTGTGTGCGTACGCACGCGCGCGTGTGTGCGCACGCGCGGGCGCATGTGTGCGTACGTGTCTCTTTCTCTACTGACACCCAGACGGATAATAGCAACCAGCGTAAGTGTGTCGCGCGTGGCCAATTAAAAAGAGAAGCTCACCGTCGTTCAATACGCTCCGTTCTGCTGCACCCGAGGCAACCATAAAGCTTCCCAACCCAGGCCGACGGAGGTAACGCGGGTCTACATGGCTCTTAAAAAACCAATTCAGCCGCTAGCATCGCCTCGTTGTCTTCATGCCCCGCGCGCGCCGTGTCGTCATTGTCTCCGTCTGTCGGCCACGGCACGTTCTATTGTTTCACGATTATCGTCTGCTGGAGGTGAACCGCGCGGGAACAAAGTGCCGTGTCTCGCGAGAAAAACTAGGAATAGAGCATACGACGACGCGTGTAATTATTAAGCGCGCGTCTTGCGTGAAACAATGGAACTAGGTTCGTCTGCGTCGTTCGAAACTTTGATATGAAACTAATGAACTAACCAACTCTCGTGTTCTACATGGCCGTGGAAGAAAGCTAGCGCGACACGCACTCGCGTCTGTCTCGCGACCGCGATTCGAACGCGAAATATAAGAACAACTAAAAGCGAGAGCATTTATGCAACCCTACGGTCGTTTCGCGTCCGCAAAAGCTGGAATGGGTTTATACATTTTTTATGGTCGTTCTTCAGCCTTTAACTCGGGTTTAAAAAACGAATTGTGTCGAGTGGGAGTGTCTAGAGGCGAATTGGGTTGCCGGGGGGGAGGGGATATGGAACGTATATTTTGGCATAAGATCTGCGCGCACCCATTTTAACAAAGAGCGACCGTCGTAGCTAAAATTGGCCATATAGAAGCAAGATAGAAGGCATATATACGAAGAGCTGTCACTTCTTCTTAGTTTCGTGCTATTGGAAGTTTCGTTTAGCAATGACCGAGAAATCAGCCTTAGAATGCGATTCCCACAGCTCGCTGATACCATCACACACACGCACAAGCAGGCACGCACGCACGCACACGCATGCACACACGCATACGCGCACACGCACGCACACACGCGCACGCACAAGCATACACGCACACACGCACGCGAGAGAGAATAACAGCGGGTAGAACAATAATAGCGACACAGTTTCGTACAGATTTTATTTTATTCCTAAAAACCGATCACTCGTGTGAAACCTACTAGCGCCACCTACCGTTACTCACTGATGCTTTTATGAATAACTGGAGAAAGCAGCAAATGTTTTTCGGCAGTCGCAGTCGCTCTGGCAGTCGATAGGCGCGCGCGCCATCTAACGACATCTATAATAAACAATAGACGGTAAAGTCTCTACTGCCTTTGAACGACGAGATTTTTTCTACTGTATTACTCCAGATTAAATGCTTGCCATTTTTCACTTATTCCACACATTTCCACTCTATTGTAATAAAACCAACGAACTGGATAAAGATAAAGTGGTGCAAACTAGAATTTTTCATCATCATCATCATCATCATCATTATTATTATTATTATTATTAGCACTCACAAAGGTCGTTGACACAGTATGTGCCTAATTATAATATTTCAACTAATCAGGACCCGACTATACAGTGGGAGATGTACAAAACAATGAATGTAGGTGGTGAACACTGATGTAGGTCACAAATCTGTAAACAGCACCTATTCAAACAGTCGTCATCCATTTCTGCTGCTCTATAAATTGTGGTTGCAACATACGAAGGTGAAATTTGCACAGTTTTCCTTTCGTCGTAGAATCTTAACGTCAGGCCCACTCTTGTCGAGAGAATGACAGTGTGTCGTCGACACCACCGCCACCAACGTCACTACGAGCATTCGTCGCTATCATGGCTACCAGCACCTTTCTTCATGGCGTTTCAGCAAATTTCCACTTCGTTGCAATCGACTAATTCGTGGTTGGTGACGAAGACGTCGGGTAGGCACGGTGGTGCCACCTTCATGTAGCGGCGCACGCTCGCCAAATTAGATGACGTCGCGATATCGAAGTATTTGCCGCGACACGAGGCGACCTCGACGCCCCGGCGCGGTCCGTCATTCGCGCCGGCAACCACCGCGTCTAGTCTGGCGCCGGCCGACTCGCATTCCGCCGCACCGCCGCCATCTCCCTCGTTAACCGGTTCGCAAAGCTCCGCCAAAGCCGTGATTTGGGGCGTGTTTGCTATCTCGACGAGCGTGTTATCTGCTAGTACTAGGAACAGTCTCGCCTCGTCGGTGCGTTCACCGATAGCGACGCTCGCGCACAGCGTTCTCTCGCGTTCCGTCATCGGCGCAGGGTCGGCAGGTGGCGCCGCCTGCGATCTAGTCTTCATGAGGACGGCTGCCTGGTGTTCGCACAGCGCCCCGTCTATGCCGTACGCGCACGAACAAACGCCTGAGCGCATGTCGACCCAGTGCTCCGCGTTCCTCTTCGTCGAACTGCGGACCTCGAACTGAGCGTCGTCGGAAACCGCCGTGACGTCCGTCTGTCGGACCTTCTCCCGATTCAGACCTTTGTACTTTGTCAGGAGGAAGTGATCCAATCGACCGTGCTGCGCGGGGGAGAGCAGCCGTCGCCGGAGATACAGTTCGAGCGTCGTCGTCACGAACATGAACATCTGTGCGATGCTGCGAGCCTTCGTTCGCTGGAATGCGATCTCCCTCAGCAGCCGCATCCCGGTGTGAGCGAGGTCGCTCCCGTCGTCGTCCACGCGGCTCTGGTGAGGCAGCACCCACTCCTTCCTCCGCAGCCACAGACTCCGATAGTACGCGAGGAATCTCTCGTGCTTGCGCGCGACGGGGCATTCCAGCAGCTGCTCGTGGTGGCAGCACGCGTCGGTCGCCGTGTCCGCACGCAGGACGGCCGACACCCGGCACGCTAGCATGCGCCGGTCGTGCCAGTCCGTGACGCCGTTCCGCGCGTCGCACAGCCACGCGAGCGCCGCCTGCATCACGCGGCGAGCGTCCAGCAGCAGCCCGGCGCGCGGCCACGCCGCCGCCACCGCACCCCGCTCCCCCGCCTCCACGCCGGCGACGACGACCGCCGGACCCCCGTCAGCACCGTTACCGTGGAACGCGCGCTCCCCCGGCACGACCCGCTTCAGGGCGGCGAGTCCGCGAGTCAGCGTCTCGGGCGAGTCGTCCGAGACGATGACAACCCCAAGCAGCAGCGGTCCGGCCGGGGAATCTGACGAGAGGACGAGCGTCGTGTAGCCGTGGCGACGGAACGATGAGGCGGCGTCGCAGAACACCTTGGCATGACTCGGTGTCTTGTGCGCGCGACGCATGATCGGCGTGCACACGGCGATGACCGCCGGCTCGGCCGCGTCGTCGCGCCGCGCGTAGTCGTGGTCGGTCCCCGCCGGCACCGGCGCATCGATGCTCGCGTTCCCGCCCGAGGCGGCGTGCGTCTCATTGTACTCGCGCACTAACGTCTCGAGGCGGCGGTGATCCACGCACTGCTCCCGCGCCGACGCCGCCGCTGCCGCCGGCGCCCCGCGATGCCACTCCTTGTAGATGTTGTAGACATCGGAATCCCTGGGATTGATGCTTCGATCGGCGAGCCTGTCCTGGATCTCGTCCGGTTCACACTGCAACTGCATCTCCGTCTCGTGCAGAAGTTTCGCCGACACAGCCGAGTGGCCGGCCTCGAATAGATCGAGGAATTTCTGCCTCGTGGCGTCAGAGACCTTTCGGAAACTGAGCATGTGCGCAGAGTCGATGGCATGCGAGTGACAGTAGTCGATCCTCAGAAGGCAGCGCATGTTCGAACAACCGCCCGCGATCTCGGCTCCGCTGGTGTACACGGTGAGGCATATAGACGAATTGCAGTCCGCCTTCCTCGACCTCCTGCCGGCTGAAGACGTCAAGCTCTTTTTCTTCACCGGCACATAGTGGAAACTCCTGGTACGGTGCTGGCAGTGATACTCGCCCCTGTACATGACGAATTTACCCTTGACGCGAGGGTGCGTCCGTGTGACACGATACTCTGTTCGAGTCAGGTTTTGGAACGCCTTTAGCCAGATGTCAAATGACTCTCTGTCAGATATTTTATTCACCCAAACCGAGGCCCTGAATATTATATCCGGAGCACCTGAGTAGACGTCCGGTACAAACTGCTCAAAGTTATTCACGTGATACGCGTATTCGGAAGGAAGAAACACCTCCTTGAAGTGACTTAGTGCGATTTTTACATCCTGGTCCACCTCAGGCCTTGATCGCACTGTTGCAGTGTTGCTGCTCATGGAACTCTCATGATGCACATTGGCAGCATAATTGTGCTGCAGCAGAGTGTGAGTTGTGCTCCCTGAGACGTCCGCCATGTTGCACTGTTCGTAGTAACGTAGGCGTAGTCACTGCTAAATGTCTAAATCAAGGCCTGCACATCTGCCAAGTTCTGGTAAAAAATAGGAAAAACATACGCCATGTATTAGTCAGGGTATAATAAGACAATAATCACAAATCCCGTCGCAATGCCGCCACCTATTGAGCGCACTAGCTACTACTGCCTATGAGTATGACTATGTCTATGTGTTGACATTGTATGTAATCTGGGTTATTGTTAGCTCTAGTACTATAGCCCGCGTACAGTTGCCGCAGGGCTATAGAACATTCTATTACTAACGCACTGTTACTCGCGGCTATAAAACGTCTGTGGTAGGCAATTAATGACTCTTATCCGAAGTGAATATGTCTTAAGTTATATCAGCTACTAAAATTTAACCTCTAACTATCGTTGAAATGGTCTGCTTACGGTATTTCTTGTGAACGAACATTATTTACGAACTTCAAATGGCCATTTTTGGTGGCGCTGCAGCAGCGCCAGTCAGCGGGTTGGTCCTTAGCATTCGTAATAGAATGTCCTATAGCCCTGCGGACACTGTACGCGGGCTATAGTACTACTAGTACGGTTCAAGGATAGAGAAGATGTCGAGTCCTATCTTATCAACTAACATCATCCTATCCAATCACCGTACTGGACATCATCTCTATCCTTGCCACTAGTACTACTAGAGCTACACCTGACCTAACCCGACCAGGCTGTCTGACTAACGTCAATACACTGCTGGGCAGGTATTCTAACCCTAGCAATACCGTTTCTTGGAGCTACACCTGACCATGATAAATTTCATGAAAGGTTATAAGCTTAGCTTGGAGAAAGCAGAAACCAAGAGAATAGGAGTTACCGCTATCACATGGTCTTCAATGTTGTCCCCTGGAATTTAAAGACTATTATTTACAAGAATATAACCTCATAGTCATAACCTCATAAATCAGTGTAGTCTTCATGACATAAGTCCTAGGGACTATATAAAGCCATGAGAATTGAGGTATGAGTTTACCGTCCGAAATATTTTGAAAAGTGAGGCTTTTTTTCATTTTTCATTTTTCATTATTCATTTAATATTTGTAGTTAATCCATTGTTCATGATTTTTTCATTTTTTCATGCCCCCAATCAGGACCCCAATAAAGGATGTAAATAGGCCCTATAGCGTTTTTGTATTGGTAATGTATGTTTTAATCGCTCTGAATGGACAACTTGGGTTTTAATAATTTAAAAATGAAAATAATGAAATACTTTTGAAATAATGAATATTTTCGGCGGTGGCTCTGACGGTATGCGGGCGGTGGACGGTAAACTCATACCTCAATTCTCATGGCCTAATGAAGACGGAGAGAGAATGTAGGATGTCACATTTATGTCACGACAACGACAATCAATCATTATGTGACATTTATGTGATTATAATATGTGCATTTACAATCAATCACTGACAATGTAAACAAACAAGTTTCTGATGGCGACGAACCGGTTTACGCAGAGATGCCATGTGGTCCTATCTAGTGTATTTCCATACCGTTAATTCCGAAATTAAGCAACAACAAATTGGCCATTTCATTTTTGAGTAATTTTTGTTTACAACGTCTCTCTCGCTAAGCATTTTATGGATGTTCACTTGAAACTCCGGACATCCGTACGTAGTTCGCTCCAAATTAGTTCCAATATCTACCGTTCTTTTACTCTTGGCGCCACCGTCTTATTGCCGCTGAGAGGGTCTATGTCACCCAGGGTACTGCCGGACTGTACCTCGCCTAATCCACTAACGAGTCTAGGGAGTCGCCTATATCTACTCCCCAACCCTAACCCTAACCCTAACCCTAACCCTAAACATATCAAATAGTGACAAGCGTACGTTCCGGCAGTACCCTGGGTGACATAGACCCTATGAGCACGCACTATTTAAATGTGACATATATATAGTATTTACTTGAAGTATCTATGGTGTCAGGTGACACCGTGTGCTATAGTTTATTTGTTAAATTTTGCCGTTTATTTAATTGTTTGGCAACTGTTGCCAAACATGATTCTTATGTTTATTATTTAACTATGTATTTCTTCCATGCCCCGAGAGAGTCCGTTCAATAAATAAAATCAATTCATAATCAAATAAAATCAATGCATAAAATGTTATTGGACGGTGGCGCCGCCAGCACAATAGCGGTAAATTTTGGAATGAGTTTAGAGTGCGCATTTCCGGATTTTCAAGTGAACATGCATAAAATGATACCTAACCACTATCTATAACCTCATACTCATAGTCATAATTAAATAGACACGCATTTAGGTGTCTCGAACTTGTCAACCGATGATGATGGACAGGGTCTGATTGTGATGTTTCAACCGTCAGCTTACAGAACGAAGGATTTTATTTCATAATAATATATAATTAATAAAACCCGCCTGAGGAATAACTTCCACCCTTTCTCTCTCCTTGGTTATTGATTTTTAGTTTTGACCTGACACAGGTCACTTCAGATATTATCAGCCAAATATTAACACCGTAGATGAAGCTTTCTTTAGGTGTGTGTGCACGCGCGTGCGTGGGTGCAATGCGCCCAGACACAAAAAGACACAAGACAAATCGTTCCAGTTACACGAGTTATTTCCATACATTCCTGCATAATCAAATTATAGTCATTGAACATAACCGGTGTACATGTTCTATCACAGGGGGCGGTATAAAAAATTACCTATGCAAGAAGAAGAACAGTACACTATAGACATATTTTCAATCCAGTGGTATGTTATAATAAAAATACGACAAATCCATATTTCTTCTTGATCCCACATTTGGAAAAAAATAGTAGTTGGTCACATCCCAGCCCGATCTATTAGTCTTTCAATGTATGAGCATTTCTTGGATCTAATCAGATCCCAAAAAATATGAAGTAGATCCTACAAATAAATCTAAATCATTATGATTAAAACTAATGGGCTATTTATTAAACTCAGTGGATATGTATTATTTAATATCAGGAATAAAATGAAAATAATATTTCTGTTTGCCCTCGTCACGCATCATACACGCATTATTACATTCCAAAGACTAAGCTAGCGGTATTTAGATGCTACTTGCATCCAGAAGGATCTTCACGCAATACTGACATAGGCACTACTAAATGTGTTGCCATTTCACACTACATGTTAACATGTACAGACGCGCATACCGGGTTAAAAAAACTAGATGTATCACTGGATTCCAATTGTAATGTATTGAGCATAATCTTTGTCCACTAGCAGTCACACTGCAGTTACTTCGATATGTGTTGCCCACTGTAAACTCACGCACTGGGCAGTTAACTACGACTATCTCAAAAGTACGCTACAAAAATATATAATCAAACACGGGCGTGTAGAACCGAATTTGAAGTTCGAACGTCGAAGAATGGGTGAGCTAGCACGCGTCGACAAAAACCGGATGTCTCCGCGTCCGTGGCAACACGCTTGCAAACTGTGAAGGAGGAATGAAGGTCGGAGTTTTTTGCCAAAATCTGAAACTTGGCTGACGGCGACGACCCCGCGTGACGGAAGCCCGGCTCGGGTCGACGCTGCGGCCGCGCCGCCGTCTCGCCGACTAATGGAATGTGCAAACGATGAATGTTGCGGGGCGGCGTTCACGTGGAGTCTAGTAGGAGTGCTTGGGAACGAACAGCGACTGTTGCCCCGCGGCGCCGGCCGTTCCTCCAGAGTACTTGCCCAGCGACGCCAGTCCGCTCGCCTGAAACACACCGACGCATAAATCGCTGTTGCATGTATGTAGAGAAATCGCAAAAACACATTTACTATTTCTTTAATTTTAACACATTTTCTACTATTTCAACCTGGAAGGTGCTGCGAACGTGCTTGCCCATTTTCGATCGAATGTCGGAATCGATAGGCGACGCCAATCGACGTTCTTACATCACTCGCGATAGATGGCGTTGTGAGCACGTACACACTTGTTGATAGATGGCGCTGTGAGCACGCACACACTTGTTGATAGATGGCGTTGTGAGCACGTACACACTTGTTGATAGATGGCGTTGTGAGCACGCACACACTTGTGCTACCCGAAAATTGCAGTAATTGCAGTTTTCTGTCAATTATCAGAGCGCTGTGCAGTGTGGGGACCCCACCCCAGCCAACCACGCCCCTCCCCAGCCAACCACGCCGCTCCCCAGCCAACCATGCCCCACCCCAGCCAACCACGCCCCACCCCAGTCAACCACGCCCCACCCCACGCCAACCACTCGCCCCACCCCANGCCCGCGTCAACAACACGCAACCCTCGCCGTCAACAACACGCAACCCTCGCCGTCAACAACACGCAACCCTCGCCGTCAACAACACGCAACCCTCGCCGTCAACAACACGCAACCCTCGCCGTCAACAACACGCAACCCTCGCCGTCGCCCTTCACCCTCTTTACACACGTTCGCAGTTCCCTCGGAAAGTACAAACCTGTCACATGGGCCGGGGTTGCCACCTCCCCCATCCCAGGGCTGCGACCTACCTCGTCCCTGGGGCCGTGACCTCCCTCCTCCCTGGGTTGCAACTTCCTTTACGGCCCCGGACTGCGATCTTCCTACCCACTGGGGTTGTGACCGCTCCATAGACATACCTCGCAACCTCCGCCCAATTCCAGGTCACATTCCCCACCCTCGCGCCGCACCCCTCGCCCCTGGCGATCGACCTGTCCCACACGATTGTAGTGCCAGGGTGTGGGCAGCATCACTACCTTCTCACAGCGTTCGATCGTGATCTGCCCTATCCCCCCTCTACCACGCTGCATACCTGGCAAGCACGTTGGCGTTCTCCATGATGGAGAGTGCGGACGGACAGCCAGGACCGATCTTCAGCACGCAGCGCCACTTCGCAAACTGCACGCCGTCTTTCTTGTACTGAGCGCACCTCTCCGCGAGTCCGTCCAGACCTGCGTGCGAGCGCGCGAGATTACAACCATGTCACATGCAATAGTATTAATAACACAAGTGCTACGTCCACATGAAGCTTACTACCGTGTCACGCGCGATGTTTCGTAGATTATTGTGAAGTTGGACAGGTAAGTTCAGGTGTGTGAAGTTAGCAACGTATGTTCAGGTGAGTGGAGGCGTGTGAAGTTACAATGGCAGCTACGCGAGATCCCCCAAGGATTGGTCGAGCACACGAGGCAAGCCCACACGAGGCAAGCCCCCGGTAAGGATTGGTCGAGCACACGAGGCAAGCCCACACGAGGCAAGCCCCCGGTAAGGATTGGTCGAGCACACGAGGCAAGCCCCCGGTAAGGATTGGTCGAGCACACGAGGCAAGCCCCCATTGCCCGCCGCCGCGCCGCGGCGCGGGGCCGGCCGCCGGCCGCGCGCTGGAGCCAACGAGGCAAGCCCGTAGAGGGATTGGTCGCGGAGCACACGCAGGCAAGCCTTGGATAAGATTTGGTCGAGCACATTGAGCGCAAGCCCCCGCGTAAGGATTGCGTGCGAGCAACGAGCAAGCCCCCGGTAAAGCGATGCCGAGCACACGAGGCCAAGGACGCCCCTGGTAAGGATGCCGTCGATCCACATGAGGCAAGCCCGCCGGTAAGGATTGGTGCGAGACACACGAGGAAGCGCGTAAGGGAAATTTTTGGGTCAGAGCCACATGATTGGCAAGCACCGCCGTAAGTGATGCCGCTCGCAGCCACACGCAGGCAAAGCCCCCCGCGTACAGCGATTGGTCTGAGCACATCGAGGCAAGCCCGGTAAGCGAAGGTTGGTCGCCAGCACACGAGGCAAGGCCCCCGGTTATGGCATTGGTGGGAGCACAGAGGGCCAAGCCCCGGTAATGGATTGGTCGAGCCACACGCAGGCAAGGCCTCTCCAGTAAGGCATTATGGTCGAGCCACACGAGGCAGCCCCAGTAACGGTCCCCCCCCCCCCCTCTCCGCGTGCCGTGGATGCGTCGACGCGAGCGCGGCGTACCTTGCGTGGTTCCCTCCCCGTCGGTTCCCAGCAGCGGCACGACGCCCTTGTCGACCTTGATGCCGGGGATGATGCCACGCTTCTTGATGTAGTCAGCGAAGGTGACCCCTGCAGAAAACAGTGCGGGCCAACGCCTCGCGTAAACGTCAAGCTCCTCGCGAACACAACCGAACGTAGCAACGACATTTCTTACAACGAATATCGTCTATAGCATCGTTTAGCATCATAAAGTATACTATAGTATCGTCTATAGCTATAGCGTAGATAAGCCCTCCCTGTGAAAACATCGATAACTGACACTCTTTGGAAGGGTGCATAGTTCGCTCACAGTAATTAGGTCTAGACTGGTAGCATTCTCTTTGTGAAAATGTATAAGGCAATGTCTCTGCGAGAAAAGATACTTCTAGCTAGTAGCTTGTTCGTGAAAACCTATATATAGCCAGCACTCTGTGCTGTGAAAAGGTCACGTATAGCTAGCTCTCTCAACCAGGGCGAGGGGCACGGCCCATGTTCGAGTCGACTCTCGTGTAGTGTTGTAAAACCACAGTCCCATATTGTGACATAGAGATCCTGGACCACCACCACGCCACCCATCCCCGTTCCGACAGCGCACGCCGGCACCGTCTCGTGGAACAGGATCACTCCCGAGATGCTGTCGTTCATCACCTCAGGGCAAGTGAACAACAGCTGGCGGTACTGCCGGCGGTTCTCCTCGTTGTTCTCTGCTCCGATGTTCGCGAACCTCTTCCCCATCGTTCCTGCGGGCGACAAACGACACGAGCGCTCGTTAAACACGTGTTTCGGTAGATGGCGCCATGCGTACAGGCACCGGGATGTGGAAGCATGGTTAGGGGATTGACGAGGCTGATGTTGCGACAATGCACGCTCGCCGAATACATTAGGCGCCTCAATAGATGGCGCCACGCGTACAGGTGCCGGGATGCAAAACAAACCAGGGTTCGATTATTAGTGAGACAAATGTGGAGCACAAGCAACACACAATCGGTAAACACACCTCACAAGCGTCCGAAGATGGAGACACGTGAGCAGAAACAGTTATGAAAACCATAACGTATTTACGTTTCCGACTACAGGCCCCTAGAACTTCACCTTACTGTAAAACCCCGAGGATTTCGCGCGCGTACCTGGGCGACAGCGGGCGTGGCTCGCTTACCTGTAGACTCGTCAGCAGCCAGGATTCCCTTTCCAGGTGCGACGATGGCGTTGGCGACGCGCGACAACTCGGCCTTGCTCTCCGTTGTCAGAAAGTTTGCCATAGTGTTGGAAGAGAGCTGCGCAGTCACAGAGAGAAACACAGATGATAAGTATTCTACGAGCCGGACTCCATTAACTTGAGCAAGCTTGATGAACTCTATATGGTTTATTAAACTCATTTATTACGTGCAGCAAAAGCAAGGAATCGAGTGCTTCGTGGAACCAATAACCAGTCCAAAAATTTCAGGAAACAATTCACAACTGGAGTAACAGGAATTACCCCTAAAGGATCTCTATTCTCTTAACCTCTACATTAACTTAATTAACTTTAATTGTGAATTTTTTCACGATTGTCATCACAGGTGAAAAATATTCAGGAGTGAGGGTCCATGCATGCAAGCTCTTCTGTAAACCCATACAAAATAACCTTGAGTTTTATACTATATTTCCTACACAACCATTTGCGCAAAACCTAACCCGATAGGTCGCCATTTCAAGTTCACACTGCACGCATATCTACATGTGAACATGTACACGCGCTCGGGGGCATTGGTGCACGCGTGCACTGCATACGCTAGATGAAGGCACCAGTCTAAATATCGGTCAGGGATGAGCAAACACACTGATATGGTGAGCCTGAATAAAAGCTACAGTGTGCAAACAAATGCAAATGGTAGTCATATGCACCAACAGCTGACACACTTGACCTTAATTGTCCTCTAGGATCTCACCGACATTTTCCTATAATTTCGTGGCACAAGAACTACTGCGTAATAATTGTCCCTAAGTGCTCTGAAATGCAGAGACAGGTAATAGCAATGCTGACCCACTCACTGCCACTGTCGCAACCAGACAGTCTAGTAGTAGTATAAATACCATGCACCATCCGATCGCGATACAATCACATCGCATGGTTGAGAGCTCTCGTAACCTAATGTGTAGTGATAATGGCTTCGATTGAATTATCAAACACCTAGGCTATAGTGTAATATGTTAGTTAGTGTGTACAGTAATGGCATACAGTGATACATCTAAGACTAGACCTAGCATAAGTTGCAACTTCTACTTCTAGTTACAATAACTGTAGCTCTACCGTTACGTGTAGCCCCTTTGCTCCCGCTACAGGCCCCGTACTTCCCTGTAGCGGGGGCGAAGGGGCTACACCGGTAGAGCTACAATATCCATAAGTACATGTAACGACTAACCCATGTACGTACGTAACCCATGCAGTTGTGGTCATTTTTAGGTACAACTAGTGAACTACCACTACCACCCAAACAGGGCATGGGCATCAACCATCTGCTAGTAGAACGTGGTAAAGTAAAGCTATTCGAGCAAAATATTTGCCTTTAGTAATACGTCCAAACGTTGTAAATATATAACGATACCTTACTTGAGAGTCAACGACGAGAAAGATGCGAACCGATGGAGTATCCGGGGGCAAAGAGAGGGAAGGACTGTGGGACACAGCTCTAGAGCATGACCGCCGGGGTGTGAGAAGTGCGCGCCCCGCGATTGGTCGAGCTGACCAGGGTCAAAGGTCAGGGTTGTTTACGAGTCTGTTTGCCAGTCGCGTACAGTCACAGGCTAGCAGACGATCGGTACGTTCGCGCCCCAGGACATTAATTCTCACATCTTCTTTTCGTTTTTTGGTTAGGCTGATTAGATGTGCTTAAACGCTGTACAATTCCCTGTATATATATATATATATGTGTGTGTGTGTGTGTGTGTGTGTGTGGTGTCGTGCGCTGTGTGTTGTGTGTGCTGCACGTGCGTGCGTGCGCGCGCGCGTTTGTGAGTGCGTGTGTGTGTGCAACAGGAGTGAACAAATACTAAGTTGTTTGTTTTACATGATAGCAAGAGTACATAATAAAGATATCTATTATGTATACTCTTGATGATAGTGATAGTATTGTATTAAAAGGTCACGTAAACAGCTTACGGTCTTGAATATATCGTCACGAGTCTATCCATATATTGATAGATTCCTGATATCGTGTATAGACAGTAAGTTTTTTTTGCTTCATATGACTCTGTGACCAATAGTAGCGATTGCACCAACAAACATCACCCGTCTGTGGTTGAGCGGTTGAAGAACTCTTGAGTTACTCAGTACACGAATTTCTGTAGTCGTCGTAGTACTAGTAGTTGTAGCATTAGCAGCAGCAGCAGTACTCCGAGCCGACGCACACCCCAGTAATGGATAAAACCGCACCATCAGATTAACAAAGCGGAGTTATAACGTCTGCATTTGCGGACTACAACAGCAGCAGTAGTAGTAGCAGCAGCAGCAGCAGCAGCAGCAGCAGCAGCAGCAGCAGCAGCAGCAGCAGCAGCAGCAGCAGTAGTAGTAGCAGCAAGTAAGAAATTATGTTTTGACAGCACGAAAAGACAATAAACACCAACAGTCGTGACTCGTTTTCACACATCTTCACCGACGATGATGATGACACAGGCTTTATTGCATAGGTACTTCATGCGATATAACACCACGAGCGTTTACACCTCGACACTCTCGCGCACACCTATGTCGCCCGCGCAACCAGCTTCCAACATGTCCGGCCGCTCGCGATCCTTCGCATGCGGTTACCATGGCAACCGATAGAACTCAAAGTGACGCCACGGGGTGAGAAACCCGCACCCTAGCCTCATCGTTGTTACACACGCGGCGTGGTTTACATGACTAGCAAGAATCAGACACCAGGTGGCGCTGCGGTAACCAACAGTGATGCCCGCTAGGTGGCGGGTCGTACGTGCGTACATACGATCGACATGTTTTTACGAGTAACCGCCTGCGTCGCTCCGCTCTCCGGGTGACAAACTCGCTGACTGAGCTGCATGAAAACTACAGAGTTTCTCACGTTTAATAACATTAACAATAGGATGGGACGCGTCATCACGACTCCACCCCACCCCCTGGAGATCATCCGAGGGAGGGGGTGGGGCGGACGAGTCCACCTCGCCCATCCCCCTAATTAAGGGTGTGATCAAGCCCGACCTTTTCCCACCCATGTCCGCTAAACACTGCGGGAAAACCACTCACACCGTTCCACGTATCGGTACAATCTGGTGCAAGCTTCACCCCCTCCCTCCCCCAACCACCACCCATCCCACCCCAACCCACAATTTACTTGTTTACTGAACTTCCCAATGCTCTGCCTGCCCTACTCTACTATGATGGCAGACCCTCGGACTGCCCATACTCGCGCATGCCCAGTGCAAGCATAGCGTCTCCGGCACATACAGGGAGGGTAGCAAGCGCTATAAGGCGCATATGTGCATGCATATAGCAAGCAGCACACACACACGCACACGCGCGCGCACGCACATACACACGATGACACACGCACACACGCGCGCGCACGCACATACACACGATGCCACGAGCGTTGATGCGCGAACCGGGTTGCCGTGACAACGGATATGACGCGTCGACGAGCTTTCGCGCACGCGCACACAATGTACGACAGTAAGGACACCACGGCCGACGCGGTGCGCCGCCTGTCGGACGCACGCTGCACACATACCGCACATGACCCGCGCATGCAACCAGGCGGAGTTACTGATGAGCTCATACACGGACACGCAACGCGGGCCTTACCTATATACGTATATATATATATACTGTATATATATATAACGCAATGCAACCGAAAAAACGACAACAGAAACTTGAGCAAAAACTTAACACAGTCGTCGAGACGGACTGGGAAGGCCAGAGTGCGTGACGGCGACATGGCTCACGCACGCACGCACGCACGCACGCACGCACGCTCGTCACACACGATAGTGAACACTTGTGCGCTATAGGCGGTTCACCTTGTGACCAAACTTACGTGAGGTGTGCGCGCGCGGGAAGGGTAGGGTAGGGAGGAGAAATGCCGCTCCTATGCCTTCCCTACTAAACAACTAACATTCTGCGAGCTGCTGCGCATGCGCACTCGACTAAAGGATGCGTTCTTTGCGCGCGCGGGCACAAAAAAATCCAGAAATACAAAAATTAAACGTTTCATCTTAGTCAACAATTAGTTTACAATCGATCCGGAATACCACGGTACGAACGCAGCCAGGCCAGAGTTAATCAATAACCCCCACCCCCCACGACGACATTCTCTTACGTAGACAACCAACCCTGCGACCTACGCTGACCTTCAGGGTTGACCCTGACCCGGCGGATAGGTATGATTTCAGACGACGTCCACTATGCGATGGTGTGACACACAACGATACGTTCACTGCCTGCGACATGCAGAGAACCGACATGGTAGCACGCGGTGACCGGCGCATGCGCAGTAGCTACCGCCGCACCGCTGTGCTACGTACGTAATTATACACACAGAATAGACGACGAGGACGCGTAGATAACCCTTTGCCGTACGTACACACGCACGCACACACAGACGCGCGCACACACAGATGCACGCACACACACGCACACACGCACATACACGCACACACACACACGCACACACACACACACACGCACGCACACACATACACGCACGCACACACACACGCTCGTACGCACACACACACATACGCGTGTGCACAGACCAGGAGTCGCGACACGAGTGTTTATTAAAGCAGCTCAGTGACGTCGCTGCTCTGATACATAGACCGACAGAGAGACAGTAGTAGTAGTAGTAGTAATACGCGCCATATTTACACGCCACCACGAACATCCAGCCATTTATACAACATACTCGCATAACTCCCGCTTACTCTACCATTAGCACTCGTTTGTACGGACGTGTATCTGTGAGCACCAAGCAGAGAGTGGGAACGAACAGAGTGTCGCGTGAAAAATGCCAATACCCGAACACCACTAATCGCACACAACACACGCGTACAAGCACACTAGACAGACAGCATTAGATCATATGCCCGTATATAGTCTCTATCTAGTATTCTACTTCCACGCCGTAACACTCGGCAGACGATATCCGTCGCACTGCGCACGCGCAACATCGCGTCAACAAGTGGCGCCACCTACCGCGCCGCACGGCAATGGCGGCAGCGTGCGAATGTCGATCTGCAAATATAGGCTACGGGTATGTGTGCGTCATACACGCGGGTGACTCATCAAACTAGCAACTACGTGAGAGCAGCGAGAATGTATCCCCCCCCACCACCGCCTGCGAGTTTTAATTAAGTGGATCGTTGTAAAATCTTACGGCTATATATTATATATATATATATATATATATTATATGTATGTATGCCCATAGTCCGTTCCTGGCACGCAATTAAAAATCTGGACCAAAAACAACCACTTCTAGTGCTGCAAACAGTACCCATAAAATTAATCCATCGCCTTCAAAAACATATACATATATATATAGTGTTTTAGCACTGGCATTTTAGTAATTTCATTAAATAGAAAACAGCCTCATTTTTAAAAAAAGCACGAGAAATTGGCATTAAACCGATAACGTTACTAGAATTCTAGAAAAATAAAAATAAAAGACATAGCCACCACATGTTTGACCCCACTGCTACAAGTTGATCCTAGATACATCAACATAAGTCACTAACACACGGAAAGCTTACGTCTCAGGAGAAACTGCAGAAGGCAGAAGGGAATGTCGAGACAAGAGTAGGTTTCAAGGAGAGAGACGGAGACAGACAGGGGAAGAGCAGATCGGGGAGAGAGAAAGGCAGACAGAGAGAAATTGAGAGAGGGGTGGAGGATGGGGAGAGAGAGAGACAGACAGAGAGGGAGGGGGAGTGAGAGAGAGGGCGCGAGGAGAGAGAGAGAGCAAGAGAAAGCAGATCGAGCAAAAGAACAAAAAGAAAAAGAGGAGAGGGAGGGAGGGAGGGAGGGAGGGTAAGACTTACAGAGAGGGGGTGAAGAGGGTGAGAGAGACATAAATCAAGGAGGATGCCTACTCAACAGAAGTAATATAGCCAAGATGGCTGCAACAGTTGGCGTAACCCATCCGTTCACCAGGCAACGCCGTTTCTACACTACAGCTACATATTTGTGACAGGTCCTGCCACCTAGTGCTCACAGTATGACACTTATTTACACACATTTCAATAACATGACCGACGAAAATGAAAACGGGAAACGGAAATAATCACATTATCCAGTTGCGAACACACAACTTCTCTCATACAAGCGATCGTCCAAACGTGCGCTATTTTTTGTCATTTATAGTTTTTTTACTCTAAATATTTCAGCTTGATACACCACAAGGGGGCACTGCCACACATGCTTGCACCATTAGTCTCTCAGAACATATTTGGTTACGATGAAGTGTTACACAAACCACACACCAGGTGGCATTGTTCATTTCACATGCGTTCTGCCTTTCGATAAACGCACACGGCACGTAAAACAGCAAACGCAACTGCTATTTGTTCTCCGTATTGCAAAAAACAAAACACGAAACAATCAAAATATAATTTGTCAGTCGCGCATCCTTGGCGTTGTCTAAATTTGTTCTGCGCATTTCATTCACTAGAATCGGGGGGTTGGGGACGAACCTGTGACGATGTTAC